AGGAGGGAGAGGTGTCGTTTATCTCTTTGAATTTTTTACTCTGTTCCTTTGTTTCTTCCTCTGTGAGGACCTCCCCACCCTCCTCCATTTCTATATCCCGTTGTGTGAGTTCGTCCTTCTTCCCCCCTTGTCATAGGACCCTGACGATTCTGCTCCCCCTTCTCTCCCTTCTCTTTCCCCACACTTGCCACCGCCTCCTTTTCAGTTTTATACGGTTGTTCTGTCTCTACCGTGGTGACCCCACTTTTACTCTGTATCTCCACCCGCTTGCCTCTCCACCCTATTCTTCCCCACTTCGCATACCGCCCAGGCTCATGTCTCATTGCCCCCCTGTAATAGAGAAGTGGCTTGCCATGCTTGTTTCGTTTCAGCATATTCCCACTTCCCATCATTTATGTGAAGATTTCGTTATTTGTTCGATTTATTTTCTCGTTATTTGTTCAATTTTTGGATATAGTTTCGCTTGTCAACTTTTTTGGATGACTCGCCGGGAGGGAATCTGATAAAGTCCCGAAGCAAAAAGGAAAGGACAACGGGGAGGGTTCGCGTAAGAAGCTCAGTACAAAGTCGGGTGGGTCTTTCTTCCCTAGTGTTCCATCCCCATCCCTGGGTGATGCTCTCCCTCTTCCTTTTGTCCCCCGGGTGCACTGCTAACAATCCTTGTGATCGCTGACACTCACAACCCTCAATCATTTCATCAGACATCTTCCCCGCAAACCCTTTCTGCGTCAATTGACAGGTTCCCAACAGCGAACCAGAAACCTTGAGTAGTTGTTTCCTCAGATTCTCCTTGGAGCATCCATGCGTAGGTTTCGGAATATTGCATGCATTCCTCATCCATCCCAGCACAAAATCCGCCTCACTCGTCCTGAAACACACATGCCCATCAATCCGAGTGAACTGCTCATCCATCCCTATGCACCCACAAACCTCTAGCCATAAGTCGGAAGTTATAGATGATATCCCCAATGCTGCGTTTTTTCCCAAATACCACCCGCGTACGTTGAACCACCGTCAACCTCCAAGCCTCCACCAGGCCCAACTCCCCAACCTGAATCCCAACCTTGCACAACGTCTCATCAAAGGTGACTTTCACAGTTAGCCTGTCACGCACATTGATATCAAATTTCCTCCTGATCACCCCAGACAGAATACATCGTAAAGTATAGCATGTGCGTTTTTCCGAGAAGGAGCGAACTGCACCAAACAACCAGATGAGCTGTTCCAGGTTCCATGACACCAACTCCTTCCTAGATGGCGGATTACTCAGGAATTTCACCAGAAGAGGTTTAAAGACAGATAGGGAAGAGCAGAAAGAACAATATTCAAAAATTCAATCGTCATACCATGCGTCAGCCACCCTCGGGCTCTCCTCAACTGTGTTCTCCCACGACAGCTACACACCTCCGATGATCCATAACATCGCTTGATCAGCTTCCATTGGTTGATTAGCAAATCACCTCCCTCACATCTAATCTTCACAGAACACACCGCCCGCTGTCTACAGTCATTCAAGAGTCTAATCAAACTTGCCGATACATACCCTTCCGATGTCATAAAAACTAAGTGATTCCTTTTGCCACCCTTCTTGCCTTCCACATTTCTCCTAAGAGTCTGCTTAGCTCTCTCCCTCTTCCCTGGACTTCGTTTTCGACACCTGCGAGGTCTATCTCTATTGTTCAAGTGCGGACAAAACCTCCGAATTGCAAACTTCTCGAGGTCAAACAAATCGGTCTCACCGCAAAACATCAGCGGCAGCGCTACATACCCTTCGACGCCACACCTTCTCATCCAATTGTACAGACGCTCATTTCTCCTTCCTGACAGTACAACGTTCTGATTCCTGACCCGAAAGAGGTGCTCCTTCCATCTAACCTCAAGCGACCTAGGCGTAGCTCCCACATAAACATGCTTAACCCATTGAGAAACCAAGATATACACCAGCAGTCCATCACAACTTACCAAATCGACATGTCGCACCTCCGCCAGATAGTCAGCAAATTTCGTAGCCCAAGGAATTTCCCCTTCGAGAATTAACGCCAATACCAATCTCCTATACCAACCTTCTTCTTCGCCACTTCTAACACCTTTTCCAGAAGCCGCCTTAATCTCACGGACAAGTTTCCAGCATTCGGCCACGTTCGGGACAACTCATTAAGCCGAATCCGAGGGGACGTCTTCCACCTCGGTACTAACCTCCTTTTCCCCCAAACTCGAGGGTTCAGACCCCCCTTTCCCGTCCCCGCGTCGTACCGCCTTCCTAGCCGTTTCCTTATCCTTCTTGCCAAAACCTGCATCAGCCCTCATCTCTGCAATTTCGTCCGCCGTCATCTCGACAGTCTTGTAAGCGATACCCTCTTGTTTGCATAGAATCTCGAGCCCCCCCTTCTTCAAAGCCCGTAACCTCTTCCTCTCAATCTGCAAAAAGGTGAACCTATCGTTAGCATCAATGGCCGACCCTTCATCGTTCCCCACACGTACAGGTGTCGAGCGGGGTCTTCCTCTTCTCCCAGTTTTTGCACACTACCGCCGACCTCAATTGCCGCTTCCAACCTCGATTTCAAATTCGTGCCACCTGTGGGCACAACCGCAGCCTCCGTTGTTAATTTCTCAATCTGCTCCCTTAATTTCGCCACTTCAGTCTCCGCAGCCAGCTTCTCCGCCTCCGCTTCCAGTCGTTTCCGTTCTTCAACGACCTTCCGCTGTCTTAATACCTCGACCTCCCGCAGTGTGCATTGCTCCATGTCTCTCATCTTTCTCAATTCTTCACAAAGCACACCAGAAGGTGATTCCACAATACGTATCCTAGAACGAGTGCGATTGTCAACTTCTGGCATCGTCATGGAGATACATCCACGCTTATTCCCCGGCCTTAGAGCTTCATTTCATCCACATCTCAGTCTCCTCCATGGATTGTTCTTTCTCCTTTCTTAACAGCCCAACCTCCGTCTTCAATCCCACAAGGAGCTCCTTGTCCTTGTCCCTGCCAGCCCGAAGTTCCTGCATTTCCTTCATTAACACAGCCATCCCATTTTCCAACGGATCCCTTGTCACGTTCACCTTCCGCCGTAACTCTTCATTCTCCCGCAACAGCCTGTCCACCAGGCTCTCACTACTCGAGCATTCCCGCTCCAACCTCCTCTTATACTCTTCGTTCTCTCTCCTCAATCTCGTTACCTCGTCATTCTCCAAGTCCTGCACGCCGGTAGCCGTGGTCACCGTCATAGCCGTCTTATCCGCCTCTGGCACTGCACCTCCATACATCTTAGCCAGTCTGTTCTCCAATCGATCTCCGACCCTTGCTTCAAATTCTTCGCGTTCTTTCTGCTGTTCCTTCTTCCTCTTTTCGTCTTCCTCCTCTCGCTTCTTCTCCGCCTTCTCCGCCTCCGCCTGGTCAACGAAAGCAACAACCAGATCAAGGTTTTGTCTCCAAAAACCTCTTCCTGAGCCATACCCTCCCGCCGGATACGTATAATGCACCGGTGCTTGTTGCACAGCCGCCATAGGCGCATTCGGAGGAGCTGGCAAAGCTAGGATCGGAGCGCTTAAAGCAGTAGCATTCGCCCCAGTCGCAGGCGCTCTACGAGGATGCGGACACTCCCTTTGGAAGTGCCCCGGAAGTCCACAGTTGTAACAGTTCCTACCAAACGGTGCCGCCATCTTGGTTGTCGAGTGCAGCCACGCAAACCGTAGTCCTATTCCTACGGTGGTTACTTACACGAGTGTATGGTTGAGACTTCAAAGAAGGCAAAACATACAGCAGACACGGTTGATAGTTCACATTCAACTAGGACAATCACCATAGATGCTCGTAATCAGACCGGGGAGGCAACTCACAGAGGGAAGCGAGACAGAGATAGAAGGTAAGAAGCTGACACATCAAGTCTCCCGAACGCGACCCTGAGGGGTCGTCTTACAATATTCAACAAGGCAACAACCCATCAGACTGACAACGTGCAATGATAGCTGAATATTGACCGTCGTCAACATCCTGCGCAATAAAAGCTCAGTCAGCCAGCGCGACCCTACGCCGCGTTTCGGCTGGTCGCCAGCCAGCCATCATCAGGGGTCAAAAACCGTCGCGAATTGGAGGACCTGATCAGTCAAGAAAATCTGCTTAAGTAGTTGTACACCCGTGCACTCGCACAAAACCTTCTCGCCCGAGAAAAAACAAATTCCACAATCGTACCAGTTCCCAATCACCAGAGAGTTCTAGAAACAAACAACCGATCCTGAATCTGCAACACATTCGCTCCCCAATTCGCAAAACTATGAATCAGACAAGAGCAGGCCCAGCGTACTAACCGGAGTAAAGCGAAAGACCAATCAATGACTAAGCACACCAAGAAAGAGGGAGACCCGGCCAGGAAGGTAAGTTGGACCAGGACCAAGATACCCACAAGAGGAGAAATTTGAACCCGGTGTGCAGATCCCCTGCCCAACAGGAGACCAAAAGGTACCCATATTAAATCCTACAAGTGATACAAAAGATAGATAGCCATGCTGAAGGGACGGCGTTCATGATCTCTGAGCGGTGGTCTTCTATGCGATGCAGGCCTGACAGCAGGGGTCTGATACATGTTTCCTTTCTTCGAAAGGAAAAGGAGTTTCAACTACTCAAGAGTTAAAACTCAAAAAAAAAAACGAATAATCTTCTAGATAGAGGAATAATTTATTAATTTCCGACTTCACAGTGTGTTCTTCTCTTATGCAGTCGCCAATAATGTAATTCTTGTTTTCATTTATTTTTTCTGTGCTATCAGCAATTGCTGACATTAGGATTTTCTAATCAGATCGAAAAAAGTAAAGAAAGAAACAAGGGGAAAAAAAGAAAAGAGGAAAAAAAAAAAAAAGCCCTGACTAACGCCGGTTCTTCTTTGTTGTGACGGTCTGTTTTGTATGGCAATCTGATCTCGTCGATCATTTCGGCAAATTTTGCATTCGACGCGAATGATTCAAATTTTCAAACCTGATTTTTTTGGAAATTCAATTGCAAAAAGCGCATATTTGAAGATTCAGGAGGTGAAACGTGTCGCTGCCACTAGTGTCTTAGAATGGAGACAGATTTTAATTCGACTCCGAGAAATATACGGTCTCGTGGTGCGAGCTGGAGGAGCGAGTATCAGTCTCGTTGGGGATAATGCAACGATCAGTAGCGCATCAGAGTCGGTGAAGATGTTTGCCGAGAGTCTGCCTCAGCCCGCTGCGCCAGAACAACGCCAGACTTGGACAGAGCTTTGTGCACCAGTTAATGAATCTGCTTCGATGCCGCTTCTGGTAAGTTTTTCAAAAAATAAATAAGTAAAACTCTTCAAGAAGAAGCTTTAAAGGACCACTACCTTTCTCACCTTGACGCTAAGTTGCAAGTTGAGCCTCATCAGAAAAAATCGTCGTCGGGCGGCCATCGATAATTTTCATCGGTGGCGCCTGGCCTCCAAATTTCAATTTTGAGGCCCGAGGCCCCATATATGACCAAGGTAGTGGTGGTGTGAAAAAAAAAAAGAAAAAAAAAAAAGAAAGAATCTGAAAGATCCATTAGCAAGGTTGCAGCCTGTAAGTTTAGTTGTTCAGTTATTCTTCTCTTATTTAACGCGCAAAGACTTGTACCATCTTCCCTTGAACATAATGCACAACGTCAGGGCTCTCTCTCTCCATTGAAAGATGTGAGGAAA